TGCAATCGTCTCTCTCTCTCTCTCCCCCTTGCCCTCGCACGTGTCTGTTCGGTCACGTCCACTTTTCTTTTTCAGACTTTTCCCCCCCTTCTTTTTCTTTTCCTCTTCTTCTTCATTTTCTTCTTCTTCTTCCCGTTGTCGTCGCCGAGTACCCTGTAACAGCTCGCCCCCACCGTCGCCGTCGTCGCCTGCGCGCCTGACAGCTCGCAGCCGTCGCCCGACAGCTTGCAGCCGTCGTAGCCGTCGCCGCCATCGCCGTCGTCGCCGAGTTCCGCGCGTGTGCTCGCCGCGCGCCTGGCCGAGCTCGCCGCAGCCCAGCTCGCTCACACTCCTCGCCCGAGCTCGTAGCCCGTCCCATCCCGGCCCCCCGCCCAGCGCCGTAGTGCCGCCCGGCCGCCGCTCGGCAATGTAGCCGTCGTCGCCCAGCCGCCGCCGACGCCATCGCCGCCCAGCCTCGCTCGGGCTCGTAGGGCGCATCGCCGTCGCCGCCAGTGCCTTTGACTCCGCCCGGCGTTGTCATTTGCCCGGCCCCGCCCGCCTAACCGTCGCCTTGATTGGCCATCGTGCCCTTGATCATCGCCGCCCAACCGTCGCCGCCCCAAGCTTTGTCGCCGCCCGGCCAGCCGCCGCCCCGTGGCTGCCGTCGTGCCTGGCTCCAGCTGCCGTCGTTCGCCCGGCCGTGGCCGAGCGCCGTGCCGAGCGCCTGGCCGATTAGCCACCACTTGGGCCCATGTCCGCGCCGAGCCCGCCACTAGCCGACCGGCCAAAATATTGTTATTGTTTGGTTTTTCTTGGCCTTGAACCAAGTAAGCGACTCCCTAAACCCTACCTAGTATAATGAGTATTAATCGGACTTGTTTAGGGATTGTTTAGTGTCGGTTTGGTTGGCTAAGTTAGGGGCCGATTTTAGGATTGCATGTTGTTTTGATCGATGTTCGCCTGGTTAATTTGTCGATTATGTCGCCGATTAAGCGTTCAATGACGATCGTGTGGTTGATTAAGCGTTTTTTCAGAAAGTGCATTAAAATTGAAAAATTCTAGAAAAATTCATAAAAATTTCCAAAAAATTAAAAAAAGTCAGATTTTGGGAAAATATGAAATTTGTTGAATTTTTTTTTTAAATAAAAAAACAAAATTTCAAAATATCAAAAAATGGCTTAAAATAACTGTGGTCACCCACTTTGAGTGAAATTTCAAATTTTTTAGGTGCCCAAAAAACAGAATAATAATAAAAAAATCAAAATTTTCAAAACTTTAGAAAATGGCTTAAAATACATGTGGCCACCCACTTTGAGTGAAATTTAAATATTTTTAGGTGCCCAAAAAAATTTTTAAAAAATAAAAAATTTTAAAACTTCACAGAATGGCTTATAAGCTTCCCAGCAAGTCGCAGAGAGAGCGATTAAAATCAAAGTGAGGGGCGTCTCTTCCCGATCCCAAGAGGCTTCCGCAATACCGAGCGCCCCGAAATTGCCCCAGCTTGTCTTTGGTAGGTTATGGGCTGTCATTGGCTCTCCCACCGCATCATAGTATCATGATTAGACCTGTCAAACGGGTGGGACAGGTCGAATCGAAAATGGTCCGACCCAAATAGATTCATTTAACTCATTTTGATTCATTCCCATATAATGCAAATATTATGACACATACTTGACTCGACCCATACCCATATCCAATCCATACTCGACCCGACCCATATTGCTAAAACACTTTTATATTTAACTTAATCTAGGAAAACGTATATCCAAACTGATATGAGAATGCGGAGTGAGTGAGCGGAAAAATAAGTGAGAGTGAGAGATGAGTTGGGTCGAGTCGAAAATGATTAGACCTGTCAAACGGGTGGGACGGGTCGGGTTTGGGTCGAGTCGAAAATAGTCCGATCCAAATAGATTCATTTAATTCGTTTTGATCCATTCCCATATAATGCAAATATTATGAGCCATACCTAACGCAACCTATACCCATACCCAATCCATACTTGACCCGACCTATATTGCTAAAACACTTTCATATTTAACTCAATATAGGAAAACATATATCCAAACTGATATGAGAATGCGGAGTGAGTGAACACAAGAATAAGTGAGAGTGAACACTACAAAAAAAAGTAGGTTTTAGCGACGAATTTTGGCATGAAAAAAATGGAAAAATTCGTCGCTAAACGAATTTGCGACGAAAAAAATTTTGTCGCCAATTCAGCGTCGCAAAATTTAGCAACGAAAAATTTCAATTTTCGTCGCTAAATTGCAACGAAAAATATTCATCGCAAAATTTGTCGCTAATTATTCATCGCAAAATTCGTCGCTAATTATTCGTGACAAAATTCGTCGCAAAATTTATTGCTAATTATTCGTGGCAAAATTCGTCGCTAATTATTCGTGGCAAAATTCGTCGCTAATTTTTCGTGGCAAAATTCGTCGCTAATTTGCCACGAAAATTTTTTACTTTTGCCACGAACATTGTTCCGGAACAAATTTAGCGACGAAGTCAACGACGAATGTTGTTTAGGGACGATTTCGAATTTAAATATAATTAACAGCAAAATTAATTTCTAGAATTTATATTTAACAATGATTAAGCACTTAATAACATCAAAATTTAGTGCTTAAATACATAATGAAATGATGATAAAATACATAGTGCTCAAAATTTAGTGCTTAAAAATGGAAATTTTAACTAGAAAGGACAAAGAAAATCATCATCATCAGCAGCAATGTCATCATCATCATGTCGCTCATCATTGTGCCCATCACCTATTGGATTAGTCGGAGGTACAGGAGGAACCACATCGTGATCAAGGTTGAGGTGTCGCAAGATCAATTGCATTTGTTGTTTGACCACTCTTATTTCTTTATCCTTCTCTACAAGTAAATATTTCAGTTGGCTCAATTATTGGGGCATTTGCTCCTCAAGTCGTGTCCTCCTCAAAATAGCCGCATTGGAGGATAAAGTTGCAGCAGCCTGCTTTGTGTATACCCTTGACAAGGATCTCATCCCAAATATTTTTCCTCTTTTCATCCCACCCGATGCCTCCACCCATAATGTCATACTATCAACTGATAGCTCAGACGCAGCAACACCATCACCACCACTACCACTATCACTAGCACTACTCATTAAAAGCTCATCATATTTTTCCTGCATTAACAATATCTATAAAAATAAAACTTCATATATATAACTACCATAAATATTAAAAGCATTCATGATTTTCATTCTAGTTTCCATAAACTTACGTATCTTAATAGCTTTTGCTCAATCAACAATCCATGTCTTATCTTTTTTTTGAAATGTGCGTTCAAATGTAACTGTATATGTCGGTTCCGTCCCCAATTCATCTGCCTACAAAATATAAACATAAATGAGTAATTGAATTAAATTAACTTACAACATGTTCAACAGACTTACCGTTCTTTTTCTATGCTCCTCGACGTTGATAGAGCCCTCACCATATGTGACAGACCCTTCACTAGAACTAGAAGCTCGATTCTTCTTATTCTATTCACTCATTTGCTTATTCTTTTCAATTTCCCAAGTTCTCTTAATTTCGGTCCAATTGTCACCCGTAATAAAATCTGGCTTTACTTGACTTATATTTGCTTTATTCATCACATTTCGTATGTGATCACCGGCTTTCTTCTTAAAAATTCTTTTAACTTCATCCTCTTCCATTTCATCCCACCCGAACTTCCGCTGCATCAATAGAAAAACAATTGAAAGTTATTATGAGGGTCACATGGCCATTATCATGCACCAGACAATTCGGCAATGGATTTTCTAAAGTTCATATCCATTACTACTTAATGTGGGACTTCCTTAACACGGCCACTAGAAACACCTACAAGAACAAAACTTACCTTGAACTCATTCCACCACAAACCCTTTACTTCTTTTGGAGCGCTGCTGTAACTAATATACTGCCCCCTCCAAGAGTTATTGACTATTTTATTAAGTTGCCTCACAACATACGTAGCATCCGTGAATCTGCAAACAGGTTAGAAAGAACGATATGGACAATGAAACAATGAAGCATACGGATAATTTGCAACATGGACAATTCAGTTGACTGAAATCTAAAACCCTAAATAACACATAATTAAAAAAAATGAAGCACTTACGAATCTCCATATGGGCATATTATGAATCGGCTATCTTCTTCACCTGTGTTTCCCTCATCATTCAAGTGTTGGACTGAAGAAGAAGGTGGAACCGAAGGACATGGAACTGGAGTAGATTCAGTTCGCATGTTTCCAAATTGTCCCCTAATATGTTCTTGAGGGTCAGAGGAAGGGCCAATGTGTCCATGTTGTCCATTAGCATGTAGTAGTTGAGGGAAACATGAAATGGCAGGGGAAGAGGAAAGGGACGGGAACGGGGAAGGGGAAGGTGCTGCTCTTCTTTGTGAAACTGCACCATGCATGTGACCTCCACGTTTATACCGACAAGTAGGAAGGTTAGACAAATATCTTAAAAAACATGAACACATAATGACGTACATCATGAAGCTTACCATTTTGTTTTAGAGAGCAAGAGTTAAATTTGAGAAAACGAAACAAACTTACTATAGCGTCTAGATAAATAGCAAGCTGTCCGGAAATGTCTACGAGCTTCTTTAGATCTTTTTTGCCACAAATAACAGTTGTTACCCCTGTCTACAAAAACATTAAAAAAGCTAGTGAAGTGAAGCACTTTCTGGTGATTACTATGTAAGAAGAAAACAGGAGAATTAATGAACATTAGAAAGCTATTCTTGTTGATGCGAACAGGCTCTTCGAACAAGGCCGAACCAAGGTTGATGTGATGTTAATGTTCATGCTGTTCTTGTTGATATACATACTGTATTGCGGGTAAACCGAAAAATTCAAGTTAGTCATCAGCTGATTTTCAAGGATGACAAGCAGATTTCGTGCAAGAGTGAATGTGAGATTGCTTACACTCGCTACATCGAGGATTTCGTACTTGGCTAATTCTTGCATTTTTCTATTTATTTGCAGAAGCAAACATGTTGTACCTAGAATCTCCTGCAGGAGTTGGTTTCTCCTACTCTGTCAATACTTCTTATTATAACTCTGTCGACGACACGATGATAGGTTCTTTTCCTTGCAAATTGCAATATATTTTTAATAAATTAAAGTGCAGCAACGATCTACAGATGTAATCTAGTACCAGCTAAACAATGCTTCCACATTTCAGCAAGAAACAATCTCGCATTCCTCCTCAACTGGTTCGAAGAATTCCCGGAATACAAGGAGAGAGATTTATTCGTCACAGGAGAGAGCTATGCAGGTGAACTAGTTATTAAGATTTTGTGAACACCGATTTGCATGGTTGAATGAATTGGAAGCTCAATGAATGCAGAATTTTAACATCTATCTACTTTCACTCTTACCAGGTCACTATGTTCCACAACTTGCAATGCTCATCGTGCAGTCCAAGTTGTTCAAATTGAAGGGAATTGCTGTGAGTTAGACTGAAAAATCTGCAAACTTGAATTAGCATCTCACATTCATAGATTGATACCTACTGAGATGAACAAATCTCATGCTCACTAAAGATAGGAAATCTGCTTCTTGAGTTCAACACTGATTTCAACTCACGGGCGGAGTTTTTATGGTCTCATGGATTGATATCAGATGCAACCTACGAAAGTTTCAACACAATCTCACATTCACCCTTGAAAATTCAAGTTATTCATACAATATGCTATTTGTCCGGACGAACTCATGAACCCATTATAGAACATGGTGAGCATACCATCAGCAGATTTTAAGGATGACAAGCATTCTTTATATAATATAAACATAAAGAACAATCAGCAGAATGTATTTGTGCTCAGAAAAAAAAAATTGCACTAAACAGAATGTATTTGTGCTCGAAAACCTATCTAAACGACTTCGAAACGCTAAAAAACGACGTTCATCACCGCAAAGCGGTGAGTATTCATCAGCGGCCCGTTTTCACACAACCGACCAAATTTCAGACCATTCTGAGTTCGTCAATCTAAGTGCCAAGTTCGCCAAATCGAAACCAAAACCAAACAATCCAGCAGACCTAATCCGAACAAGCCGAGCAGCAGCAAACAAACCGAAACCGAACAATCCAGCAGACCCAATCCGAACAAGCCGAAAAGCAGCAAACCGAAACCGAAACGGAAACCAAACAATCCGAAACAGCGCTAGCCCGAGACAAAAAGTGCAAAAAATTCATGCGAACTACCTCCTCTAAAACTCTCGGACGACGACGATCCTCCTCAGATCCGAAACTCTCGGATGACAGTGACGGTCCGTGACCGTCCGAGCACAAGCGCTTCAGGTTCCTCTCGGACGAGCATCCGCTGAAGGGGTTCCTGTCTCAAACAAAAAATCGCGCCGAAGAATGCCAAATCTGAAGAAAGAGAACGCCAAATCGTCGGAGGAACCGTCGAGAGATCGAGAGAGAGAGAGAGCCCTACTCTGTTTTGAACAAGAATCGATCGACAGAGAGAGCACGGCGAGAGAAAGCCCTAATTGTACCCCCAAATCAAGACGACGCCGTTTCGGAAATTAGCGATGGATTTTCGCGAAAGTTTAATTTCGTCGCTAAATCCATCGCTAATTAGCGACGGATTTTAAAATTTCATCGCTAAATCCATCGCTAATTAGCAACGGATTTTGAAAATAGTAGCGCCAGTGCTGCGAAAGTTAATTTCGTCGCTAAATCCGTCGCTAATTAGCGACGAAATTACTAACGGATTTTGAAAATAGTAGAGCTTAATGCCGCGAAAGTTAATTTCGTCGCCAATTAGTGACGTATTTTAATCCGTCGCTAATTAGCGATGGATTTTAAAAATAGTAGAGCAAGTGCCGCGAAACTTAATTTCGTCGCTAAATCCGTCGCTAATTAGCAGATTTAGCGACGGATTTTAAAAATAGTTTTTTTAAGTTAATTTCGTCGCTAAATCCGTCGCTAATTAGCGACGGATTTCACAAATAGTATTTTTAAGTTAATTTCATTACTAAATCAGTCACTAATTAGCGACGAATTTCAATTCGTCGCTAATTAGCGATGGATTAAAAAAAATAGTAGCGAAAGTTAATTTCGTCGTTAAATCCGTTGCTAATTAGCGACGAATTTTAAAAATAGTAGGGAAAGTGCCGGGAAAGTTTATTTCGTCGCTAATTCCGTCGCTAATTAGCGACGGATTTTAAAAACAGTTGCGAAAGTGCCACGAAAGTTAATTTCGTTGCTAAATCTATCGCTAATTAACGACAGATTTAGCAATGTATTTTAAAAACAATAGCACAAGTGCCGTGAAAGTTAATTTCGTCGCTAAATCCGTCGCTAATTAGCGACGGAATTAGCGGCGAAAATAAAATAGTCGGGAACATGCCACGAAAGTTACTTTCGTCGCTATTTCCATCGCAAATTAGCGACGGAATTAGCAACGAACTATAAAAATAGTCGCGTTCATGCTGCAAAAGTTATTTATTTAATTTTTTTTTGGGTAACCAAGGTGTCCGGGCCAGCTTGCGCGCACCTCGACTATTCCTCGGGGGAGACTAGCACAGCAACCCACCCACTTAAATCACAAGTGCTCAGCTAGGGAATCGAACCTGGACCAGTGCGCCTAACCACACAATCTCAAGTATGCCTTAACCAACTGAGGTACCCATGGGTGGGTCTGCAAAAGTTATTTTCGTTGCTATTTCCGTCGAAAATTAGCGACCGATTTGCGTTCGTTGCTATTTCCGTCACATATTAGCGACGAATTGGCGTTCTTCGCTAATGTTCCGTGGCTAAATCCTTATTTTTTTGTAATGTAATTTTGCGATGAAATTAGCGACGAAATTGGAGACGACCTATTATATTAAAAATTAAGCAAATAAAAATTGTCGCCAATGTCGTTGCTAATTTTGCGACGAAATTATGTTTGTTGTCAATTAGCGACGAAATTAGCATCGACCTTTCATATTAACAATTCGTCAAATAAATAATAATAATAATAATAATAATAATGATAATAATAATAATAACAACAACAATAATTATGACAACAACAATAACACACATGTCGCAATAATAATAATAATTACACATAATTAATAAAATATCTCAAAATAGTGTAATTATGTGCCAAGACAAATGGTTCATATTTCATATACATTTTCTTGTGATTTATTTCAACCAAATTAAACTTCGTATGCACCTTCATTCCTTTGACGGGGTCGAACCACATGCACTTAAATAACACAACCCGCATTAATGGTCATGGTACTCTATATCTATGATTTCATCCAACAAGCCATAAAAATCATCTTTTGAACTGTCGCCATTGGATTACAGAACACACACACCACTATTTATTATGGCTTTTCCCATTCCATATTCTTGAGTGCGAAAATTATACTCGTTTATGAAATATGCTTGCCAGTTTCGTACTCTTGACTTTGGACCCCATGACAGATGATATAGCAATCATTGCTCTTCAACTTGATTATGATTACTGTGAACCTAAGGTCACACACGCAAAGTCAACAATATATATTTTAATAAATTATGTATAAAATATTAATAACTTGATTTTGGTCCATAGGCAACTTACATATGTTTTGAACCATGCTGCAAATTCTTTATCGCACAAACGGTCAAACTCATTTGGTGGTAATTCATACATTGAAGTTTGAAAAATCCTATTAACAAATACCATTTATATATTAGCAAATGTTTGACACACAATACATATATTTGCAAATGTACACTTACTCGAAGTATGGCTCCACTTCTGGACAGTTCAGTAAAATATATGTATGGGCTGCCTGCAATTCTTCGCCTGTTAAGTAACGAAACTTATATGGGCCGCTTGGTTGATCAAGATAATTGAAAATAGAGAATGATTTGCAATTGGGATCAATGTGGCCCTCATCATTTCTTCCTGCTCTCCACCTCTTGCATTGCACGTGCGGCTCAAAATAGTATGATGCAAATGTTGTCACTTCTTCCACAATATATGCATTACAAATTAAAGCTTCAATACATGCCTTATTCTTCACTTTTTTCTTCAAATGATATAAGAACCTAGTTGCAATAGAAAGAAGTTTATCATAACATAATATACAATAAAGTAATTTGGAATATATTAAAAAAAAATTACCTCTCAAATGGATACATCCATCGAAATTGGACGGGACCTGCAACTTTGGCCTCATAAAGCAAGTGAACTAAGAGATGCTCCATTGAATCATAAAACGATAAAGGAAATATTCTTTCTAAGATGCAAAGAATAATTGGAATATCTCTCTCTAGTTTCTCCATGTGTGATGCTTTTAATACTGTTGAACAAATATCATGAAGGAAATTACTTAATTCTGTAATGGCGTCCCATACAAAATTTGGTAGAAGTTCCTTGAAAGCTATTGGAATTAGTCTTTCCATAAATATGTGACAATCATGACTCTTTAAGCCTGTCAACTTGCATTCATTCAAATCAACATATCTCTCAAGGTTCAAAGCATATCCATCAGGAAACCGCACAGATTTCAACCATTGACAAACATCCCGTCTTTGCTCCTTGTCCAATGTATAAACTGCTTTTGATTTTGGTCCCCTGCTGCTTGCATCCACATCTAGTATTGGCCGATCACAAATATCTCTCATATCTTTTCTTGTATTCAAGCTGTCTTTTATTTTTCCAGTGACATCCATCATAGTATTTATGACATTGTCGAATGAGCATGACGTCAAGATTATGATGAAAAAGATGGACCTTCCAATATGGTAGATCCCAAAATATACTGCGTTTGATCCACTTATGTGTACTTCCGTACCCAATAGTTGTGCCATGAGGATTTTCAACAACAATTGGAAAGTCATGCACTCTTTCCTAAATTTAATCACCGGTCAACCTCAACGGTGGAGGTGTTCTTTCAATCTTATTCTTCATGAACTCTTTCTTATTCCTTCTAAATGTATGACTTATCGACAAAAATTATCTGTGACAGTCAAAATAGCTGGCCTTCTTACCATGTTTTAATCTGAATGACTTCAATCTCTCCAAACATATCGGACATCCTAAGATCTCAGCTGTACTCCATCCAGATAATATTCCATAAGCTGAAAAGTAATTTATCATCCAAATAAAAGCAGCCTTCATTACAAATGTTTGATCAGCAGAAACATCATACGTAAGGACACCTTCATCACATAGTCGTTGTAACTCTTCAATCAATGGTTGCATATAAACATCTATCAACTTTTTCGGATTTTACGGGCCAGTCACGATCAATGTCAAAAACATATAAGGTGTCTTCATGCACATACCGGGTGGAAGATTGTACGGAGTTAAGATAACTAGCCAACATGAATAACTTTTTTCCTAATTTCCCAAATGGGGCAAATCCATCAACACATAGACCTAACCTGATGTTTCGAGGCTCTATCGCAAACTCAGGGTATGTTCTATCAAAATATTTTCATGCCTCTGCATATGAAGGATGACATATTAGACCCTTCTCTGTTTCATGATTTGCATGCCAAGTCATATGTTCAACAGTGCCTTGAGACGCATAAAGCCTTTGCAAACTGGGGATTAAGGGCAGATAAAACATTTGCTTGCATGGTCTACGCTTCTGACTACGACCCTGCCTCCTGTTAATCTTGTACTTAGGTTGGCTACAAAATTTGCAAGATTCTGTATTTTCGTCATTTCTCCAATATAACATACAACCCCTACTACATACATCAATCCTTACAACTGGAAGACCTAAATTATCCACTAGCTTCTTCATATCGTAA